TGTCTGGCTGACTGACAAGGCCAGGCATCAAAGCGTCATTCCAGTGTCACATACTTCAACGTTCTAATCTTTCAGAACTTGTAAAGCAATCTCTTACGGCGCTTTGTGGGCTGTGAGATCACCCTGACAAACTGTGATAATGTTGGCAATTTCCAAATGGGTGTTCATTTGCAATCTTACTACAGAGGAATTGCTGTGTTTCCAAATTTGAGGGCTTGACATAATCTGTCTTCACGTAGCTATCAGGGTCTGTCATAAGGTTGTCTGTGACCCAGGGATTTTATGGGGTCAATATCTATCACCAGTGAAACTTCATTGCAAGCAGTGGAATTACCTGGAGTATGACTTTCTCTATCTATTTACTTTCTTTCTTTTTATTTAAAATACCCCTTCTTTGTATTATATTTTTTGAAGTGCAAACAGCACCTACTAACATCTGAGCCAGGTAGGAGAGACTGCTTCTCATGGCCAGTTACTTGCAGTTCACACCAAACCCTCTGCTGCCCTCATCACACTGAGTGACTGAGAAACAATGCAAATGTCAGGTCAAGCTACAGAGCTATTGCCATCATCTCTTCCCTTCTGTATGCTCCCAGCACTGGCAGTCTCTGGGCTGCAGTCCACAGGATATCCACAATTATGGCCCAGATTGAGGGAGGGGTAGAAAAACGATGGTACTCTGCCAATTATGTCAGAACCTAAACTTGATCCATTTTAAAATTGAAGCTGGGGACTGTAAGATAGCACTGTGTTTGCTATAATTTGTGTAAGGAAAAGAAAATAATTTAGCATCTCAAAAAAAAAAAGAAAAAAGGCACTTAGTGAACACCTATAATAAATGTTTTACATTTGCCTCTGAACCTTATGTTTAAGTAAAGACAATGCTATCCGGACATAGAAGATTTTTAAAATGCCATAAGACTGTTAAGCACCTCAAAAAAAAGCAAGACAGGGAGTGTCAGGCTTTGCTATATTCATGAGGGCCACACAACTGCTAGTGAAGTAATTCTGTTTTGAAACTACTTAGGATTCCTTTAGAAAAGCTGGGAATACAGGATGGAAATAGAAAACTAAAAAAAGTGCATCCAGTGTTTCAAAATACGCTCTCAGCAGGGAAAGGGTGTTGAGCAATCATGTCCTGAGGCAAATTTCCCAGGCAGTTCCTCACACTTACCAAAAGACACTCCCCAAATCCTGCTGTGAGGGTGAGCAGCTGGAACCTGGCCATGGTGGGGTCAGAAAGCCCATGCCAGGCACAGGCATTGGAGCACAAGCTGAGATTTACACACTGGCTTGGATAATCTGCCAGTTTTATATTGGGATGTTTGCTATGTTTACTATGGTTTTACAAGTAAAGTTCTCTGCCTTGGACTATTCCATCTAATCAAAGCAAAAGTTGGTAAAGATGCACCATACTTTGTGTTATCCCCCTTTAAGCTATTTTCTGCATTTCATTCTCTGTGAAAAGGAAAGTCAGTGTCACTCTCCAACCTCAGGAATAAGGACCTAACTGCAATGCTACTGGAAAATTTTGGAATCCAAATAAATTCTAAACTTGTATTTTGGCCTGAATTTACAGCAAACTTGCTCCCGCTCTCAAAACACCTACTGCTTTTACCAGGAGCAGCAATTACCCCTCATGTCTCCTTAATCTTTTAGAAAAGAATGCGCAGCCCTGGAAGCACAAGGTAAATGTTTTAATGTGTGTACTATCTTGCTGAAGTCAGTAGCTTGCATAGATATTAAAAAAAAGGCTGTATGAAAGGACAGTACAAGAATCCATGGGCTTCAAAAGGTTAGATAGCTTCACCAATATAAATACTGCAGTTGGGACAGTCCTGAACAGAGCAATGCAACTGGTATGTGCTTTTCCTTCCTAAAAATTATTTCTCGAGGGTGAATGTTTTTATTTTACAGTAAGGGGAAAACTGTTGACTTGTATACTAGTTATTATTTGACTCTTTTCTACAAAAAAACACTTCTAAAGACAAAAAAGTCAAAGCAGAGAGCCCTACCTCTCTGCTAGTGCCACTTCAGGTTTTTGCTAGCCACAGCTGAATTACAGCAATGTTTCTCCTTTTTAATTTCCATGTTTTTACTATTTTCAACACTGACAACAAAATTTTCCAAAAAATAAAGTAAAAAGGGTGTCAGTGGTAGATCAGTATTTATAGATGGAAAGAACAGGAAAACATATTAAATTTACCCTAAACAAGGGGGCTTATACCATGACAGCAACTTCTAATGTAATTCAAAACATATTAAATTTACCCTAAACAAAGGGGCTTATACCATGACAGCAACTTCTAATGTAATTCATTTGTCTTATAAATTACATCCGTGGGGATATCCCTGAAAATTAATTAGGTTAGAGAGGGAAGGAAAATAAATTGAAAACTTCTCAAAACTCCAGGAAATAGTAAGTTTTAAACACAGCAGTGTCAAAAATATCATTACAAAGTTCTTCCCTCCTCTTCCCCTATTCTTTCCAGGAGACCAAGATCCTCAGATTGAGAATCATTTTGGCACACCAAGGTCAAGGAAACCATATACATTCATAATACAGAACATTTCTGAAACTGAAGATTTTGCAAGCAGCTCTGCCTTTCCAAAGTGCAGACTCCCTGGAAGAATTCTGAAATATAATTTAGTAAAGACATTCATTGTGCTAATGTGGCTTTAAACACAAAGCTACAGTCACAAGATGTGGACATGATACATTCATCACACAACAGAGAAAAGCAAAGGGGAGGAAGGCAGAAGAAAACAATAAGAATTTTAGACAAAATTTAATACTGGCCAAACTCATCCTCAAATCAAAACTTTGAACGTTTGCCTGTTCATTAGTTTCTCCAGAGTTTGGGCAAAGAGGAATTTGGCCATGTACTTTTCCTGTAGTGTCCTGTCTTCATTTTGTGCAAGAATCAACACTTACGTTTTCTCACTCTTCTCAACACAATTCACTGGATTGGAAGTGTTGGTACACATATACAAAATCCAAGACATTTTCTGATTCCATTTGTAACATAGATCAAATTTTGTACATCCTAATGCCTGTGCCACCTTCCAGGACTATGGGAAGAATAGAAATACAAAAAAATACAGTAGGTAACTGAGTTGATGGTGCTGTATCATTGAAACTTTGTAACAGACTGCACTAATGGATAACTTCACAGTAAAGACTTCACCTGGATCATGTGAGGGCACGAGATGCCATTTCTGCCACCCGTCATATGTGTTAATGCTAGCAGCAAGGAACAAAAGGTATACAATAAGGCACAGAGCTTGCTGGTAGAAGTCAACACATCACAATATATTTTTAAAACTGCATCAGAGAATTCATAATGGATCCGTGCTTTGCATTTTGAGGTGACAGAGATCTCGATCTGGTAGAAAGTTCCCAAAGCTCAATTTACTATGTTGTCGAAACATAGCCTGAGGGGACAATCTGACTTACAGCATCTTTATGACTGGTGATGAAAGAACCTCGCTTGGCTTTTAGATCCCAAGTTTGGCTCAAGATAGTGCAGTAGAGAACAGAACATCTTCTATTTTATGCTGAGTGTTCACAGTGTTCCTCTTCAGCACAGAATTAAGTTCTACTCTAGAGAATTCTCACACAGCTTGCTGATGGGTTAGAATTCACACGTTCAGATTTTGGGGATATACTTCACACCCTTCATTGTTACTGCTACTAAAGATACAGATTACACTGTCCTCGTGTCATTGTAGCATCTGTAATGGAAATCTTTAGAAAATTCAGGGGAAACCTGCATCTTTTACAAGGCCACAGCATGTCTTATTCAGCCTTGGAGAGACTTCAGAGCACAGTAACCACATTAATTGGACATTATATGGACAGCCAAGTAAAGCTCAGTTACTGTGCAGATTTTACTGCTCTTTGTCATGTTGCTTCAAAACACATTTTAACCAGTCATATATACATATGAAAGTATTTTGCAACACTGGACAATGCTACAGATCCACAGGAAATAATTGTTTCACAAACATGAAGCAATCGGCACAAATATAAATAGCGTAGCCCAAATCTGTTCTAAATTATGCTCGTGCAAACCCATGGAAGTCAACTAGTACGACTAACAGAATAGAACACATAAAAGCATATAAAAGTATAAAATATGGCTCTGCTGCTCAGCTATTCATGGTTCATACCCTGCCAGCCTGCCATCACCTACATTCTACTGCTTTACCAGCATGGCTTTACAGGAAATAAGAAAAATCCTGTGATTTCTAGTTCTCTCATGCACTGGAGGACACAAGTCCAAGAATATATGGGCTTAAATGTGTCAGCATCCTACATCACTCTTATTTGAAGAATGTTATTAATTTTTGTGGGTGGAGTCCAAAATTGTAATGCCATATTAACTACACAGTGGCTATTTCTGTAATGCATATGTCACAGGGAGCATATGTGTGGCAGTCCAAGGATAGCATTTTAATTTGATTTTAAGTGACTTTCTGAATTGCAATACCCTCAAAAGACGAAGTACTGATGCTGCCAGCAGGGTATTTCACAACTTTTGTCTTCACAGTTTCATCCAGTCACCTCAATTCTGACCTCTAGAATGTCATGCTATTGCAGATCTGGACTTCGCACAAAGCTGTTTCAATAAATCTCATTTTTCTCTGTAATACACAGCATGTGACTTCAGGATTGGTATTTTCAATGCTGAACTGAGTTATACAAGTGATGTATGCTACTCCAGGCAAAAAGCAAGACTAATAGGAGAAGATTCTTTGCCATGCTAACTCTAACTGAATTTCAACCCCAACCTTTTCCAATGAATTAGCCTCTTTACCAAACTTACAGGTACAGACAGATACTGTGGGAATCAGCCATGTAACCGTTCCAACTGGATACAGTGAAGAAAGTATTGCCAAAGTCTTTTCGGCTGTAGCTCAACAGGTGGTTTGGCATTGAGATTTCTACCTGTTTGTGGTTTTCATCTCTGGTTTCAAGACAGAAAATGAGATTATACCTTTCAGTGCTGCTTCTCAAGCAGGCTGTACGCAGAGCAAGGTTTCATTCCAACAAAATCTCTCTCTCTCTCGCAAAGTTGAGGAAAACTGCCAACCACTGCTGCTCTTGACATCAACATGCGATGCAGATGTCAGGAAGGGGAAAAGAAAAGGGAGAGAAGAAAAAAATGAAAACAAAACTGTAAGTTTTACGTAAACAAGAAACTGTACTTAATGACTACATCTGAGGAAAACAAAATAAAAAGTACTGGCTTGGTATAAGGAAAGGAATAAACAAAACCTTGGAACAGCTTAATCTAAGAGGTTGTAGGGGTTTTTTTGTTTTTCTTTTGTTGGTTGATATTGTTGGTTTTTTGGTTTTTTTTTTTNAGAGGTTGTAGGGGTTTTTTTGTTTTTCTTTTGTTGGTTGATATTGTTGGTTTTTTGGTTTTTTTTTTTTTTTGTTTTTTTTTTTTTTTTTTTTTTTTTTTTTTTTTTAGTTTATTAGATTTTTTTTTTGCATTTAGTTCCAGGAGATAAAATATCTTTACATGATAATGGGACAACATAAAAAAAACAGATCTATCATAGCATCAAAATTAGCTACTCTATTACTCAGAGAAAAGTCTAAGCACCTTTAACAAACACTGTGAAAAGCAGTGGAAGCACTCATAACATATGTTCTTGCCTGCAAATAGTCCAGGGTGCAAAAGGTGGGTTTCATTTTTCAGTTTTTAAAGCCTTCTGCATAGGCCTAACTCTGCCTTTGTCGAAGGCAGTGTTAACACACATTGAATGCAGAAGGAACTGAATGTGGATAACTGCATATTTCGAAAAATCACACCCAATATGTTCAACTGATGCCATCGTTTCCTGAGGACAAGAGCAGGCTATGGAATACCACAAATAATAGAAAGGAGTAGTCTAAAGAAAGCTTCCCAGAACCAAGAAAGCATATTTCAATACTTTTTCATACATAATTTGGAATGTGCATCTTCAAAATAGTAGTCCAGAATAGGTAAAGACTGTCAGGAGATGCTTACTGTGACAGAAGTCTCAGTGCCTTGTCATAAAATAAGAGTGCTTCAAGGCTACTCTCAACAACCATTAAGAGAACAGTAAGAATCTATGCTTTTTGGATTAAAGGAAGAAAATAAAAGTCAGTGCTTCTTCACAGACAAGAATGTAATGAGAATTACTTCAATCTATCAGCATTTGAGTCATCAAAATGGACCCACATTCACCAACACACAGAAAAGTAGAATGACCAGCAAGAACTTTGCTTTGCCCTGATAAAATCATTTCAAGAAGTTGTATATACTAAGTTGCCTATGGAAGATGAGAACCTCACAATTAAACATATTAAATCATCTATACAAAGAAATACTGAGAAAGACTGAGCTGAAGAGAAAATGGAACAATCTTATAATGATCATATAACCACTTGAGAGAAAGGGTGCCCAAAATATTCTGTTCTTGAGTTGGAAGAATCAGCAAAGTGGGTCTTTTTTCCTCATGAGAAGGTCTTTCCACAAAGATATACCCCTCAGATAACCAAAACAGTTTTTTTTCTTCAGCTACCTGGAAAAAGGAGGAGGAAAAGAAAGAGTAATAGGTCTCTCAGAACCAGCAGTTGGCAAATATTTATTTGACTTTTCTTGGGTAAAACAGTTATTCGCCAAGAAAATTTTCATTTCAAGAAAATGAATTTCGACTGAAAAATCATTCTGATGGAAAAACACTAGCCTCAGCCAGGGAGAGGTGAATGCCAAAGCCAGTGGACTGGGTCTGCCACAGTCCTCTTGCAGAATCATGGACACAATCTCTCCATTTGCTGGGATGTTTGTTCTGCTCCAGTTTTTCCCTATGTAGACGATCCCCCCCGCTCTTCAGGGCAGGAACTGTCTCTCACTGTATGTTGTGCACAGCCTACTGTAACACGTGTGTTTGATGACTTTTAGCACTACAGTAGCAACAGTGCCTTTTCCTCCTACAGTAGCTACTCCCCAATATCAAGATGAGGAGAAAAACGTAACCTATGGTTGCAACACACTGCTAATCAAACACTATTATATAGCATGGTGATGTGGGGGGATGCAGGGGGATGCAGGGGGATGCCTTTTTACCACAGAACTAATCAGGGTTTATACACACAAAATCAGTAAACTATACAGTTCAGTCTTGTGATCTGTGTTCCTAGCTGCCAGAAAGAAGGCAGGAAAGAGGGGTGGGGAAGGGGGGTAGGGGGGAAGCATCTCCTGTGTTCACAACGAAAGAAGAGAGATGACTGGACTAAGAGCTGATGAGGTTACAAGGCAACAGCAGTGCCATGAGTTGTTTGGGCTTAAAGCCAGATGTCTTGTATTTCCTTTGATTGTTTCTAAATAATTAATGGTATTAATTTCATCATGTGACCCACTCACCCCCCTTTTAGTATTTGGCTCAGTGTACTAACACTAAATATAAAGGAGGAAAATGGTACTGTCTATAGCATACTGAATATTGATGCTGTGTGTTTGGACTGCAACAAGAGCTGATACTCATACCCCTAAGTTTCTATATTCCACAGCACTCACACAGTGTTTGCACGAAGGGGATGGAATAGTATCCTTCATACTCCATCCATAAACCAACACAACTATGGCATATGGACACTGCATGTTTGAAGTAGTAAAAGAGAGGGTACATCGCTCCCTCTCCGCCCACACTAAGATGAACCTGCCACTACTGTTTCACGTAACGTTTTCTGGCAAGCTCCCAGTTTTCAGTCATGCTGGTTTGCTTGAAAGAAACACTCAAAGGAGACTCTGCTTGTCTTGCTGTTCGAATAAACAAAATAATCATGCATCTTGAGTTAATGGCCCAAAGCTTAATGAAGTTCATAGAAAAGAGGCTGCCTGTGATGGGAGCATTCCCTTCTGACTTAGCCACAAAAGCCACTGCTGTTGGCAAAAGGAAATGGATTATGAGGACAATAAGCAATCCTGAGCTCTGATCTAGACAAACTTTGCTTGGTACTGTAGCAGTAAGTGCACAAAGAGAACTGCAACAACCAGAAATAAAAATTTCATTTCTCCACAATTTTCTACCCCAGGGCACTGGCAGCATCAGCAGCAGGACTCGTGTTTCTTTCTCATGGTAATGTTTGGGTTGAGTGTTAGGACTACTGGAAACTAACAGCAGAATTCTTGATCAAAGAAGGACTAGTGGAGGGAGATGCCTATTTGCATGATTCTATGATATGTACTCAGGAAACATGTCTGCCTACCCTCCTGTATACTGCAGCCTACTTTCAGCTTCCCATGTCAAGTCTCCAGTCGCACCCATCTTATCTACCTTTTTTTCCTGCCACATTCTCACTTATCTTGAATCCCATGGTACCTACCATAGAATCAGAATCACAGAATCATCTGAGTTGGAAGGGACCTTTAAGGGTCATCTAGTCCAACCCTCCTGAAATGAGCAGGGACCTCTCTCTTCAACCAGATCAGCTTGCTCAGAGCTCTGTCCAACATGACCTTGAATATTTCTAGGGATGGGGCACCTACCACCTCTCTTGACAACCTCTTTCAGTGCTTAATTCACCATGAAATAGCATTAAATGTGCCAGCTGGGAGGAAATGGAGAAAGAAATCTGACAGCTTGGAGCAGACCCTTGTTTTGTCCAGTAATGCCCCAGACTTCTGAAGGTAAGGACAAAGTAATATGAGGCCCTCACAGATGTCAAAAGAAGTTTCCGAAAGTCTGCATAAAGCTAACCTCCTCAAAGCATACCTGTGGGGAGTCAGAGAGGGCTTGGTCAAGTCTCATTTCTTAGATTCTTTCCATACTCTCTAGTTGGGTGTCATTCTGCAGCTAAACTATCAGATCAAGACTGGTGCATTGTACAGTGACAATTCTTCAGTCAAGGGAATTGAAACCCAAAGAATTCTCCACTAGAAAGCCTGATCCTAATCTTCAAGGACTTGACCCTGAGATTAGCTCAGCTGGTTAGAGCACAGTGCTAGTAATACCTAGATTGTGGGTTTAATCCCTGTGTGAGCCATTCACTTAAGAGTTGGACTAGATGATCCTTGTGGGTCCCTCCCAACTCAGAAAATGCTCTAATTTCTGTAAATTTTGACTTGGCAGTCAAGGCCTAGCAATCCTAAGGCAAATTCATTCCCCACATACCCATTACAGGTTCAGAGGAAGAAGTCTGTCTCACTAAATGAAGGTCATATGAGAAATACACCTGAGCCCTTCAGCTGGGACTGGAGCAGCACCAAAACCAGTATTGGCCCTGCACACTGCAGAGAAATCACCTGGAGGGAGCATCACCACTGCCAAGTCACAGCATGAGGCACTGCAGACAGGGTGGCAGAGTGCCCTGGGTGCCAGAGCTCAGGCTGTGGGGCTCTACTGAAAGAAAGAAGCAGGATGAACAACACACTGGCAGTGCTGGGAAAAAAATATCTCGCCTTCTCCTATTAGAGCTTCTCTGCCATGGTTATAAGGCTGAATAAAATTATGGGTTTATTGCTTATGGACACATGCAAACGGAGAAAACACTAAAACGGATCAGTTAAAACAAGATGAGAAAGAATAACATAGAGCCAAACTTCAAGTGACTCCTTCAGTTCCTACCAGCTACCTAGAGTGGCAACACTTAGACAAGCAAAAAAGCACATCAGGAATACCTGATGCCAGAGTCCTCCTCCTTGGAAGTCATTCACAGAAAATGGGCTCTGCAGCTTTGAACTGGAACAGAGGAAACTGCTTCGAGACAGGAATGATCACAGAAATGACCACACTCTCTGCAAGGTAGAAATATTGCAAATAGACAAAAATACACCCAAATCGTCACAGCACTTTATGAGCAGCCCCTGTATGTAACTGCTTGGTTTTCAAGATTTTGGGAAGTTATGGTAGAGTGAGAAGACAGCATTTTTCCTATGGCGTCAAGGATCTCTGGAAGTGTCTACATATCAGCCTTGGCTGAGAACATATCCTTTGTTCCTTCTGCATTATTTCCCTTTCATGACAGCTTTGCAGTGAATCCCATTTCTGAGTTGCTCAAATAAATGCAAATTTTATCTTGTAAGTAATACCCTCCAAAACATAACTAGGACCAAAAGTAAA